TTAGTAAGTGTCTCTTGAAGGAGGCGATTGAGCTGAGGCTGCGAATGTGCAGAGGGGTGACGGCGTTCCAGACTGTTGGGGCTGCCACCGAGAAGCGGCGCGTAGACACGATGACCATCCTGGATCTTGGTATCAAGAGGAGGTCGTGAGTCACGCCGCGTAGGCATCTGCCGTGGCCATAACCGCTGCACCACCGCTCCCCTACGCAGGACACACACAGACATCGTGGGTGACGTGGAGCATCGTGACCCCCCCCCCCCCCCGGGCCTCATCCCCCGGTCGAGGGCTCCAGATGCTCGCGCGGAATTCGCGGAATCCGCGCGGAGGAGGTCGCGTGGCATGGTGGTGGTGTAGTGGTGGTGTTGTTGTGGTGGTGTTGTTGTTGTGATGTTGATGTGATGTTGTTGTGTCGTGTGGTTGGTGTTGTTGTGTCGTGTTGTTGCTGTTATGTTGTGATGTTGTGTTCTTGTGATGTGTTGTGTCGTCATGTTGTTGCTATTATGTTGTTGTGATTTTGATGTGATGTTGTGTGGTTGGTGTTATGTTGTTGTGTCGTGTTGTTATGTTGTGATGTTGATGTGATGTGGTTGGTGTTGTGTCGTGTGGTTGGTGTTGTTGTTGTGTCGTGTTGTTGCTGTTATGTTGTTGTGATGTTGATGTGATGTGGTTGGTGTTGTTGTTGTGTCGTGTGGTTGGTGTTGTTGTTGTGTCGTGTGGTTGGTGTTGTTGTTGTGTCGTGTGGTTGGTGTTGTTGTTGTGTTTCGGGCTTGTCGTGTCTTTGTGTCGTTCAAATATTAAGTGGTTGTGGGTGATTGTTTTGTTTTACCGAATTCGAATAAAAACTCTCTTCTTGTGATTTCGGTTGCCGATCCCTGACCGTGCAAGTCCAGTTCACCATGGAAGTCCAGTTTACCATTGGAATCCAGTTTACCATGGGAGTCCAGTTCACCATGGGAGTCCAGTTCACCATGAGAGTCCAGTTCACCATGAGAGTCCAGTTCACCATGGGAGTCCAGTTTAATCCAGTTCACCATGGGAGTCCAGTTTAACATGGGAATCCAGTTCACCATGAGAATCCAGTTCACCATGAGAATCCAGTTTACCATGGAAGGCCAGTTCACCATGGAAGTCCAGTTGACCATGAGAGTCCAGTTCACCATGGAAGTCCAGTTCACCACGGGAGTCCAGTTTACCATTGGAGTCCAGTTCACCACGGGAGTCCAGTTGACCATGGAAGTCCAGTTCACCATGGGAGTCCAGTTCACCACGGGAGTCCAGTTCACCATGGAAGTCCAGTTCACCACGGGAGTCCAGTTTACCATGGAAGTCCAGTTCACCATGGGAGTCCAGTTCACCATGGGAGTCCAGTTTACCATTGGAATCCAGTTCACCATGGGAGTCCAGTTCACCATGGGAGTCCAGTTCACCATGGGAGTCCAGTTCACCATGAGAGTCCAGTTTACCATGAGGGTCCAGTTTACCATGGGAGTCCAGTTCACCATGGAAGTCCAGTTCACCATGGGAGTCCAGTTTACCATGGGAGTCCAGTTCACCATGGAAGTCCAGTTTACCATGAGAGTCCAGTTTACCATGGGAGTCCAGTTCACCATGGAAGTCCAGTTCACCATGGGAGTCCAGTTTACCATGGGAGTCCAGTTCACCATGGAAGTCCAGTTCACCATGGAAGTCCAGTTCACCATGGAAGTCCAGTTTACCATGAGAGTCCAGTTTACCATGAGAGTCCAGTTTACCATGGGAGTCCAGTTCACCATGGAAGTCCAGTTCACCATGGGAGTCCAGTTTACCATGGGAGTTCAGTTCACCATGGAAGTCCAGTTCACCATGGAAGTCCAGTTCACCATGGAAGTCCAGTTTACCATGAGAGTCCAGTTTACCATGGGAGTCCAGTTCACCATGGAAGTCCAGTTCACCATGGGAGTCCAGTTTACCATGGGAGTCCAGTTCACCATGGAAGTCCAGTTCACCATGGAAGTCCAGTTCACCATGGAAGTCCAGTTTACCATGAGAGTCCAGTTTACCATGGGAGTCCAGTTCACCATGGAAGTCCAGTTCACCATGGAAGTCCAGTTTACCATGAGAGTCCAGTTTACCATGGGAGTCCAGTTCACCATGGAAGTCCAGTTCACCATGGAAGTCCAGTTTACCATGAGAGTCCAGTTTACCATGGGAGTCCAGTTCACCATGGAAGTCCAGTTCACCATGGAAGTCCAGTTCACCATGGAAGTCCAGTTCACCATGGAAGTCCAGTTGACCATGAGAGTCCAGTTCACCATGGAAGTCCAGTTCACCACGGGAGTCCAGTTTACCATTGGAGTCCAGTTCACCACGGGAGTCCAGTTGACCATGGAAGTCCAGTTCACCATGGGAGTCCAGTTCACCACGGGAGTCCAGTTCACCATGGAAGTCCAGTTCACCACGGGAGTCCAGTTTACCATGGAAGTCCAGTTCACCATGGGAGTCCAGTTTACCATGGGAGTCCAGTTCACAGTAGGCAGAAGTGTTTTTACCGAATTCGAAAACCAAACATTTCCCGTCGTGAGACTTTTTTTTGGCAGTATGAACAATAAAAATAGCTTTTACCCTTGACGGACATAAAACAGGAGGTGTTTAAGATATTCAAACACCAGATATAAACCTTTTGCGAAGAATCAAATACTGCATTGACCTGCCGATCGGTGAACATGCAAAACAAACGTGCTCTGATAATCTGTGGCATTGTCTTTGAAACTGATTGGTCTACACCAAGGCCCTAGCTATGGAGTCAACATTGGGGGGCACCAAATCTTCTAGGGGGTCTGGGGGTCCCCCCCCCCCCCCCAGAAAAAAATCTAAATTTGAAAACGATTTTCCTGCCATTTCCTGCCTAAAATACTACAAAATGCACTAACACACAGGATGGACTTTTTATTAATTTTTTACAAAAATGTCTACTAGTGTATTGTATTACAGTGCTCTGTTGTTTTTGTTTCATTGTATGTAATGGCAGAGATTAGGGATTAATAAAGTACAACCATAATCTTCTTGGTTCTTTCGGTAAAGTCACGTAGAAGGCAAATAATAAAATAATAAAAATAAAACATAAAATAATTCTCACGACGTTTCGGCCACAACGCAAGCAGCCGTCTTCTACGTGACTTTACCGAAATAACCAAGAAGATGAATCCCTGCAGTCACGAAAGCTTTAAATCGAAAAATGCAACCATGATCACAATCATAAAAACAGAAATCTATTTGATAGCAATATATTTGGGGGGACATTTTGAGCATATATATTATCAATACGGCTCTGGTCTTCACCAGAGACAGCGGCCTTCTTTATCACATCATAGCAAGGGGTGGGGAGCGAGGCTGACCTTTACAAGTACAAACTTCTGACTTGTTAAACAACTTTTATTGCCGCCAGCAGCAGCAACAGCACTGGAGGCGATTCCGATATGAAACGCACAAAGTCACCAGCAAATAACTGAAAACAAACGCTACAAATCCACGCGCTGTGGCGCTAAATGCACCGCGCACAACACGAAAGAAAAGTCACGTGGTGGTGGTGGTGGAGGTGGTGGTGGTGGAGATGGTGGTGGAGGTGGTGGTGGTGATGGTGGTGGAGGTGGTGGTGGAAGTGGTGGTGGAGGTGGTGGTGGTGGTGGAAGTGGTGGTGGTGGAGGTGGTGGAAGTGGTGGTGGTGGTGGAAGTGGTGGTGGTGGAAGTGGTGGAAGTGGTGGTGGTGGAGGTGGTGGTGGTGGAGGTGGTGGTGGTGGAAGTGGTGGAGGTGGCGGTGGTGGTTGTGGTGGTGGTGGTCATCGCGCACGCCACGGTGACGAGCGAGCGCTTCAGAAGGTGAACACCACGAGGGTGCCGTCCACGCTGGTACAGAGAGGGGCTTTTGAAGGCTCGGACCAGTTGCTCCCCCGGGGTTCACGCTGCTGCGAGGACCTTCACGTCGCTTCACGACCAGGGCCGCGTCAGCGGTGGGGCAATTCCACATTCCTAGGGACGGGGCCAGAGGCGTGGATGTGCTGCGACCTGCCGATCGACTTTCCCGCAAAGTGCGGCTGAGATGTGTTGCTTTGGTGGGCTGATTAAAGCCCCAGGCACCAACACCGAGTCCCACTCACTGGGGCTCGGCGTTAGTGGCGGGGAGAGTGCTGGAGACAGAGGCACCGAAGATTGAATTTTGGTTTCCGATGCAGGAGCCAAAGACGCCACGTCATCACGCAGAGACAAAGATCCCCCGCGTAGCCTCAACAGGCCGTTGGGGCAAGTGCTGTTAGCGAGTAGCACTGCCGGAGCTGCACAACGAAAGGGGTGGGTGGACAGCACCACGCCCGCTCGCCTTTGTCTCCCCAGTGGCGGTGTTTACTGACACACCGCGTCAGGTACTCATTTGAGGCTGAGTCGACCTAGGGGAGGGCCCAGGACCGGTTCAGATAATCGTCACCCGTGTTGGTGGCCGTGAACGGGAATCAAACTCGGGGGGCCGGGGTTCGTAGCGCAACGCGCTAAGCACTGTGCCACCGCTCCCCCTAACCCCCACCCCCCCACCACTCTCCCCCCCCCAACCACTCTCCCCCCACCACTCTCCCCCCACCACTCTCTCCCATCCCCCCCACCACCACCCCCCCCCACCTCGCCCTTCCTCTGATGCGGCCCATATCGCGTGTTGCCAGCAGTGCGTAGGGCCGGGTGGGAGTGGTGGTGGTGGTGGTTGGTGGTGGTGGTGGTGCTGATGCACACATCGCTCGCAACAATGGTGATGGTTGATGGTGGTGGTTGGTGGTGGTGGTGACAGAACGTGAACTCGCGATGCGGATGACGATGGTGGTGGTGGCGGTGACGACGGCGGACGAGGCGGCTGAACGCGGCGTGTTGTGAGCTCGGCACGAGCAGCCGGCGACAACTCCACGCCGCCAAGAGAGAGAAGCTCACGAGGGGCTCCCCGGTGACCCCCCCTACCCCCCCCCCCCCCGGTGACCCCCCCCTGCCCCCCCTACCCCCCTACCTCGCACGCGGCTCGCCCGGCACCACCACAACCCTCGTGGGGGGCCTCGGAGGAGCCGGGCTCGAGCCCCCCACGGCCTTGGGGGGGTCCCGTCATGGGACTCCGGCGCGTGGCGCTGCTGCTGCTGCTGCTCCTCCTCCTACTCCTCGCGCCGGGACTACTCGTGGTGAGGACATTCCACATTCTCATGGCGAGGCCAGGTCGCCTCTAGCGGGGGGGGGGGACTGCTGGATGTGGCTGATGCCGGTAGCGACAGGGGGTCGACTCTTTGGCTGCCCCACGTGACTCTTTGGCTGCCCCCACGTGACTCTTTGGCTGCCCCCCCACGTGACTCTTTGGCTGCCCCCACGTGACTCTTTGGCTGCCCCCTTCGTGTTTAAACAATAAAAAAAACACCCCCGTAAAACTTCAACGTATTTGAACGTGAAGATAATTGATTAAATATGGGCAGGGAAATGGGGTCACTGTGGAATGTCTTTCTGGCGACAACAATGCACAACGGTCAAACTGTGTTGTTAACGCATCGCTAAGAGAGGAAAAGACAATAAAGAAACGCAAGCAGAGTGAATATTTACGAGTCAGAGTGAATCTATAGCAGGGAAAGTGAATCTATCGTTGGCAGAGTGAATCTATGCTAGTCAGAGTGAATCTATGCTAGTCAGAGTGAATCTATGCTAGTCAGAGTGAATCTATGCTAGACAGAGTGAATCAATCCTAGTCAGAGTGAATCAATCCTAGTCAGAGTGAATCAATCCTAGTCAGAGTGAATCTATGCTAGACAGAGTGGAGGTGTAGGCAGAGTGAATCTATCGTAGGCAGAGTGAATCTATGCTAGTCAGAGTGAATCTATGCTAGTCAGAGTGAATCAATCCTAGTCAGAGTGAATCAATCCTAGTCAGAGTGAATCTATGCTAGTCAGAGTGAATCAATCCTAGTCAGAGTGAATCTATGCTAGACAGAGTGAATCAATCCTAGTCAGAGTGAATCTATGCTAGTCAGAGTGAATCAATCCTAGTCAGAGTGAATCTATCGTAGGCAGAGTGAATCAATCCTAGTCAGAGTGAATCTATGCTAGTCAGAGTGAATCAATCCTAGTCAGAGTGAATCTATGCTAGTCAGAGTGGAGGTGTAGACAGAGTGAATCTATGCTAGACAGAGTGAATCTATGCTAGTCAGAGTGAATCTATCCTAGACAGAGTGGAGGTGTAGACAGAGTGAATCTATGCTAGACAGAGTTAATCTATGCTAGTCAGAGTGAATCTATGCTAGACAGAGTGAATCAATCCTAGTCAGAGTGAATCTATGCTAGTCAGAGTGAATCTATGCTAGACAGAGTGAATCTATGCTAGTCAGAGTGAATCTATGCTAGACAGAGTGAATCAATCCTAGTCAGAGTGAATCTATGCTAGTCAGAGTGAATCTATGCTAGTCAGAGTGAATCAATCCTAGTCAGAGTGAATCTATGCTAGACAGAGTGAATCTATGCTAGTCAGAGTGAATTTATGCTAGTCAGAGTGAATCTATGCTAGTCAGAGTGAATCAATCCTAGTCAGAGTGAATCTATGCTAGTCAGAGTGAATCAATCCTAATCAGAGTGAATCTATGCTAGACAGAGTGAATCTATGCTAGTCAGAGTGAATCTATGCTAGTCAGAGTGAATCAATCCTAGTCAGAGTGAATCTATGCTAGTCAGAGTGAATCTATGCTAGTCAGAGTGAATCAATCCTAGTCAGAGTGAATCTATGCTAGTCAGAGTGAATCTATGCTAGTCAGAGTGAATCTATGCTAGTCAGAGTGAATCAATCCTAGACAGAGTGAATCTATGCTAGTCAGAGTGAATCTATGCTAGACAGAGTGAATCTATGCTAGTCAGAGTGAATCAATCCTAGTCAGAGTGAATCTATGCTAGTCAGAGTGAATCAATCCTAGTCAGAGTGAATCTATGCTAGACAGAGTGAATCAATGCTAGTCAGAGTGAATCTATGCTAGACAGAGTGAATCAATCCTAGTCAGAGTGAATCTATGCTAGTCAGAGTGAATCTATGCTAGTCAGAGTGAATCAATCCTAGTCAGAGTGAATCAATCCTAGTCAGAGTGAATCTATGCTAGTCAGAGTGAATCTATGCTAGACAGAGTGAATATATGCTAGACAGAGTGAATCAATCCTAGTCAGAGTGAATCTATGCTAGTCAGAGTGAATATATGCTAGTCAGAGTGAATCAATCCTAGTCAGAGTGAATCTATGCTAGTCAGAGTGAATCTATGCTAGACAGAGTGAATTTATGCTAGACAGAGTGAATCTATGCTAGACAGAGTGAATCTATGCTAGACAGAGTGAATCAATCCTAGTCAGAGTGAATCAATCCTAGTCAGAGTGAATCTATGCTAGTCAGAGTGAATCTATGCTAGACAGAGTGAATCAATCCTAGTCAGAGTGAATCTATGCTAGTCAGAGTGAATCTATGCTAGACAGAGTGAATCAATCCTAGTCAGAGTGAATCTATGCTAGTCAGAGTGAATCTATGCTAGACAGAGTGAATCTATGCTAGTCAGAGTGAATCTATGCTAGACAGAGTGAATCAATCCTAGTCAGAGTGAATCTATGCTAGTCAGAGTGAATCTATGCTAGTCAGAGTGAATCAATCCTAGTCAGAGTGAATCTATGCTAGACAGAGTGAATCTATGCTAGTCAGAGTGAATCTATGCTAGTCAGAGTGAATCAATCCTAGTCAGAGTGAATCTATGCTAGTCAGAGTGAATCAATCCTAGACAGAGTGAATCTATGCTAGTCAGAGTGAATCTATGCTAGACAGAGTGAATCTATGCTAGTCAGAGTGAATCAATCCTAGTCAGAGTGAATCTATGCTAGTCAGAGTGAATCAATCCTAGTCAGAGTGAATCTATGCTAGACAGAGTGAATCAATGCTAGTCAGAGTGAATCTATGCTAGTCAGAGTGAATCTATGCTAGTCAGAGTGAATCAATCCTAGTCAGAGTGAATCTATGCTAGACAGAGTGAATCTATGCTAGTCAGAGAGAATCTATGCTAGTCAGAGTGAATCTATGCTAGACAGAGTGAATCTATGCTAGTCAGAGTGAATCTATGCTAGACAGAGTGAATCAATCCTAGTCAGAGTGAATCTATGCTAGTCAGAGTGAATCTATGCTAGACAGAGTGAATCTATGCTAGTCAGAGTGAATCTATGCTAGACAGAGTGAATCAATCCTAGTCAGAGTGAATCTATGCTAGTCAGAGTGAATGTATGCTAGTCAGAGTGAATCTATGCTAGTCAGAGTGAATCAATCCTAGTCAGAGTGAATCTATGCTAGTCAGAGTGAATCAATCCTAGTCAGAGTGAATCTATGCTAGTCAGAGTGAATCTATGCTAGTCAGAGTGAATCTATGCTAGTCAGAGTGAATCTATGCTAGACAGAGTGAATCTATCCTAGTCAGAGTGAATCTATGCTAGTCAGAGTGAATCTATGCTAGTCAGAGTGAATCTATGCTAGTCAGAGTGAATCTATGCTAGTCAGAGTGAATCTATGCTAGTCAGAGTGAATCTATGCTAGTCAGAGTGAATCTATGCTAGACAGAGTGAATCAATCCTAGTCAGAGTGAATCTATGCTAGACAGAGTGAATCTATGCTAGTCAGAGTGAATCTATGCTAGTCAGAGTGAATCTATGCTAGACAGAGTGAATCAATCCTAGTCAGAGTGAATCTATGCTAGTCAGAGTGAATCTATGCTAGTCAGAGTGAATCAATCCTAGTCAGAGTGAATCTATGCTAGACAGAGTGAATCTATGCTAGTCAGAGTGAATCTATGCTAGACAGAGTGAATCTATGCTAGTCAGAGTGAATCTATGCTAGACAGAGTGAATCTATGCTAGTCAGAGTGAATCTATGCTAGACAGAGTGAATCAATCCTAGTCAGAGTGAATCTATGCTAGTCAGAGTGAATCTATGCTAGACAGAGTGAATCTATGCTAGTCAGAGTGAATCTATGCTAGACAGAGTGAATCAATCCTAGTCAGAGTGAATCTATGCTAGTCAGAGTGAATCTATGCTAGTCAGAGTGAATCTATGCTAGTCAGAGTGAATCAATCCTAGTCAGAGTGAATCTATGCTAGTCAGAGTGAATCTATGCTAGTCAGAGTGAATCAATCCTAGTCAGAGTGAATCTATGCTAGACAGAGTGAATCTATGCTAGTCAGAGTGAATCTATGCTAGTCAGAGTGAATTTATGCTAGTCAGAGTGAATCTATGCTAGTCAGAGTGAATCAATCCTAGTCAGAGTGAATCTATGCTAGTCAGAGTGAATCAATCCTAATCAGAGTGAATCTATCGTAGTCAGAGTGAATCAATCCTAATCAGAGTGAATCTATGCTAGTCAGAGTGAATCAATCCTAATCAGAGTGAATCAATCCTAGTCAGAGTGAATCAATCCTAATCAGAGTGAATCTATGCTAGACAGAGTGAATCTATGCTAGTCAGAGTGAATCTATGCTAGTCAGAGTGAATCAATCCTAGTCAGAGTGAATCTATGCTAGTCAGAGTGAATCTATGCTAGTCAGAGTGAATCAATCCTAGTCAGAGTGAATCTATGCTAGTCAGAGTGAATCTATGCTAGTCAGAGTGAATCTATGCTAGTCAGAGTGAATCAATCCTAGACAGAGTGAATCTATGCTAGTCAGAGTGAATCTATGCTAGACAGAGTGAATCTATGCTAGTCAGAGTGAATCTATGCTAGTCAGAGTGAATCAATCCTAGTCAGAGTGAATCAATCCTAGTCAGAGTGAATCTATGCTAGTCAGAGTGAATCAATCCTAGTCAGAGTGAATCTATGCTAGACAGAGTGAATCAATCCTAGTCAGAGTGAATCTATGCTAGTCAGAGTGAATCAATCCTAGTCAGAGTGAATCTATCGTAGGCAGAGTGAATCAATCCTAGTCAGAGTGAATCTATGCTAGTCAGAGTGAATCAATCCTAGTCAGAGTGAATCTATGCTAGTCAGAGTGGAGGTGTAGACAGAGTGAATCTATGCTAGACAGAGTGAATCTATGCTAGTCAGAGTGAATCTATCCTAGACAGAGTGGAGGTGTAGACAGAGTGAATCTATGCTAGACAGAGTGAATCAATCCTAGTCAGAGTGAATCTATGCTAGTCA